TTGCGGTATAACCTACGGCCAATACGTTGTTATATTTACTGATTCGCACCATATCTCCAATTTTGAATTAACTTTTTTCACGTTTGCTATACTGCTTCTCAGATTTTGTATAAATGGACAATTTTGTGGATGATTTTACCTCTGCAGGCTTCATGCCAATGGTGCGATGAACTTTGTTGTTATATTGATTGATAATTTTAGGAAGAACATTCAACCACTTGTAGTGACTTTGAAGTGAAAATTGTTTATAAAGGGTGATAAATGATGAAATTCTAACAACTTTGTGATTATATGACCCTGCATTCTGGACAAATGTAAAATCTCAAATTAGTTTTTACCGACAATAAGCTCTTACTACCCTTTTCTACCATTTTTAATTTTGTATCGTTGGGACAAATCATATAACTCGAATTTAACCCCTACAAGAAAGGGCTGAACTTTCCAAACACTAGAACAGACGCTCATCAGAAGGGAAACACATCATTCTGTTGTAGTATATCTTACCCATCAAACTAACTGGCAGTCATACAGTCAAGTCAAGTGATACAGTTGACTCAAGCAACCCGTCTACTATATTATTCATTTTGAATGGAAAGGGTTATATTTTTAGGAGTGTTGTTTTTTGACTTTCTACAAACATTTTTTTTTTAATAATTCAGTGTTCACATATCATATGTCTAACTGAACATTGGTATACAGATCCAGAAAAATATCTTATGCAATTAGATGGCTATCAAATGTCGTCTGCTTTTTCAAGAAGTAGTAAAATACATGGAGGTTCTTGCATCTTTGCCAAAAATTTTCTAGATTGCAATGAAATCAATGAAGTCAACAAAAAAAGCTGTGAAAGTATTGTTGAATGCTCATCTATAATTTGTAAAGTACTAAAACTAGTTGTAATTTGTGTCTACAGACCTCCTGATGGAGACCTCAATATATTTTTTCAACAGCTTACTGAAATAATTGATCTCATACATATGAAATATAAAAAATATAGAGTTATTGTCTGTGGGGATTTCAATATCAATCTATTGAACGCAGACAGCTCAAGCACACAATTATTTCCTAATCTCCTACTCTCCTATGATCTAGACAAACAAATAAATGAGCCAACCAGAATAACACCTCATTCATCTGCATTATTGGATAACATCTTCATTAACTTTGAAAATAAATATCCGGGTGAGATGATAACATCTGCATTATCTGACCATGAGGCCCAATTACTAATAATTAAATTCCTACCTAGTATTGACAACAAAAAGTCAAAAATCAAGAAGAGAATTTTCTCAGAGGTGAAACTGTCACCTCTGAGAAAATTAACTAAATCATTTGACTACTTTAATATTATCAAATATCAAATGAATTTAATTTTACTCATGAAAACATTAAGGACTAGAAACTTTGACAAAAAAGGGGGTTGGATGACGCTTGGAATAAAAACATCTAGCCAACGTAAAAAGCAACTATACAGACTTCAAAGGAATGGCATCATATCTAAAGAAACATACAAAAGATAATGCACAATACTTAAAAAAGTAGTACAGGAAGCAAAAAAAAATGGCCAATATAAAATATCTGCAATCATCTTCTAACAGGTCTAAAGCAGTATGGAATCTAGTAAAGAACTATACTGGTGGTGGAAAGAAGCAGTTTGATTCTGTAATAGATAATGTTTTTCCGAATGAAAATGACAAAACAAAAGCACTTTGCAAAGTCAACAATTTTTTCATACATAATTGTCCAAATATTACAAATCAAACTCATGGAAGTGGTTTTCTAACCTCTCCCATTTACAAACAAAGCATATTTTTCAAACCTGTTGATTCGATAGAAATATATGACATTATCAAAAACCATAAGAACACTGAATCAGTAGGCGAAGATTGAATTCCTGTCAAATTACTGAAACATATAGCACATGAGATTCGTGAGCCTTTATCACATATAATTAATCTATGTTTTTCAACAGGTATTTTTCCAGATAATTTAAAAATAGCATATGTCAGAGCTATATATAAAAAAGGCGAAAAAAGTGAGCTAAAAAACTACAGACCTATTGCACTTCTTCCCAATATCATATTGTATCAAAGATACAAATTGAGACGTATTTTTCAGATATTCTATATAAAATAAGATTTGAGTTCCATTCTGAAATAATAACCACCATAACTAATCTTACTTGTTGAACTGGAAGAGCAAGTCTCTCTCCTTAAAGTGGAGTGTGAACAAATGGCTGCAGCTCAACGAGAGAGATCTGCTCACATGAATAAACTTTCTCCTAAAATTCGGGAATTGGAAAACTTCAGCAAGAAGATACATGAAAATTTCATCTTTATATATATTATTCTTATATCTGTATTATTGTATTCTTATTCAGAGCAATCATGTAGGGTCTGTATTCATTCTTCTTTTATTCTGAATAAAGTTATTATTATTATTATAACATGAAAAAAATGCGCTTTAAGTTCGGGAAACCTCCCCTAATAAATCTTTTGTAAATTGCTAATAAAGTTATGTGTGAATGTCACTTTCTAGTCATATTTAAAAGTGTATAATTGATTATTCATATTTGAAAAAATAAATAATGAAAGTATCAATATTAAAAAAACACAAAATAAAGTTATGTAATACATAACATTTTCTATTTATATGTAAAAATGTATATTTATATTCGAAAAATAAATAAGTCATAACACATAACACAAGGTCATGGGACACGCAAGATCATGTTCATAACTCAAGGTCATATAAGATATAAATATCTTAACGACTTGTGATTTCATTCAATGTTAAAGTCGAATGATTGGAGGTTCGAAATTTCATGTCTGAGATTATATGACATGATCATAATACAAGGTCATGAGACCTTACGTGTTCATATATCGAGGTCATATGACACAAATATCCCAAGGACTTGTGATGTCATTCAATGTCAATGTTGAATAATTTAAGGTTTTCAGCTTCACACTGCAAGTAACTGACCACTTGTTCCCTCATCATGAATCAAGTAACACCGGTTGATCAAGAAGCTGACTCCACAAGTGAAATACATTTCACATCTGTTTTTCTGGAAGAGAATCATGTATCTTGCGATTTTTAGTCACATTCAAGAAATTGTATTTCAGTATGACCCACATTTTCCATTTTATAAGATCGAGTGTTATATTTCATAATAAATATAAAATAACATCACAAATAACAGCAATACATCTCACATAGGTTTTCTCCAAAGAAAATCATGTATCTTGCGATTTTTAGACACATTCAAGAAATTGTATTTCGTTATGACCAACACATTTAATTTCATAGGATCGAGTGTTATATTTCATAACAAATATATAATAACAGCAATACATTTCACATCTTTTTTACAGAAAGAGAATCATGTATAATGCAATTCTCAGATACTTGAAAGATATCTTATTTCAGTACGACCAACGTAATCCATTATATGAGATCGAGTGTTATCTTTCATAACAAATATAAAATAACAGCAATACATTTCACATCTGTTCTGAAAGAGAATAATGTATCTTGCCATTTTTGGGCACATTCAAGAAATTGTATTTCAGTATGACCAACATATTCAATTTCATAAGATGGAGTGTTATATTTCAAAAGAAATATAAAATAACAGCAATACATTTCACAACTGTTTTACTGAAAGAGAATCATGTATCTTGCGATTTTTAGACATTCACGAAATTGTATTTCGTTATGACCATCACATTCCATTTAATAGGATCAAGTGTTATATTTCATAGCAAATATAAAATTACAGAAATACATTTCACATCTGTTTTCCTGAAAGAAAATCATGTATCTTGCATTTTTACACATATTTAAAAAAGTGTATTTCAATACGACCAACATATATTCCATTCTATAAGATCGAGTGTTATATTTCATAAGAAATATAAAACAACAGCAATATATTTCACATCTGTTCTTCTGAAAGAGAATCATGTATCTTGCGATTTTAGACACATTTAAAAAAGTGTATTTCAGTACAACCAACATATATTCCATTCTATTAGATCGAGTGTTATATTTCATAACCAATATATAATAAAAGCAATATATTTCACATTTGTTTTTCTGAAAGAGAATTATGTATCATGCGATTTTTAGATACTTTAAAGAAATTGTATTTCAGTATGACCAACGTATTCCATTATATAAGATCGATTGTTATCTTTCATAACAAATATAAAATAACAGCAATACATTTCACATCTGTTCTGAAAGAGAATAATGTATCTTGCGATTTTTAGGCAAATTCAAGAAATTATATTTCAGTATGACCAACATATTCCATTTCATAAGATCGAGTGTTATATTTCATAAGAAATATAAAATAACAGCAATACATTTCACAACTGTTTTACTGAAAGAGAATCATGTATCTCTCGATTTTAGACACATTCAAGAAATTGTATTCAAGTATGACTAACATATTCCATTTCATAGGATCGAGTGTTATGTTTCATAGCTAATATAAAATAANCTTAGGATTTTTAGACACACCCAAAAAACATATTTCAGTATGACCCACATTTTTCATTTTATAAGATCGAGTGTTATATTTCATAACAAATATTAAAGAACAGCAATTCATCTCACATCTATTCTTCTGAAAGAGAAACGTTCCCTTGCGAGTGCGAGCGAGACAGCTTCATTCATATCTATGAGTTGAAAAGAGAGCGCATATTCGGCCTCATTGAAGATATGTTGTAAATTATATAAAATGAACAATTCGTTGTTATAGTTGAACGGTTAAACTCATAGAAAATATATATTGCGGCAAAATTATGTGTCCTTGTGACAGAGGTAGGAATATTTTTATTTATTTTAGGAATATTTTTGGAGGGCAGTTCAGTTTTTATATAAAATGAACAATTCCTTGTTATAGTTGAACAGTTAAACTCATAGAAAATGTATATTGCGGCAAAATTATCTGTCCTTGTGACAGAGGTATTNAAAAAATCAAAGTCCAATCAAGGAATCCGCATACATGGCCATATTTTGTACAAATTTCAATTTTTATTTTCACATTCCTAAAAAAGATAGGTGTGACCTTTGCGAAGAAATTTGTTTATTAAAAAAAAAAAGAAAATAGATTATCTGAAGAAAGAGAAATCACATACGACAATCACTTGAAAGAAAAAGAAGCAATGAGGTAGGAACGAAAGAACGATACAGAAGGAAACATACCAGTACTCTTGTTTTGATTTAGAAAACGTCCTCAGCTGCCCTAAGGCGGAAATGAATTCTTTTTTTTATAAAAGGTAGTTTACGGTTTACAATATGACAGCCCATCTGTCAACTACAAAAAAAGTATGCTGTGCAGTTTGGCCAGAAACATCATCTGGTAGGGCTGGAAATGACATTGCTAATGCAGTGTATGAAATATTGGAAAAAGTCATTGAAGACAATCCAGAAATGGAGACATTAATTCTCTGGAGTGATAGCTGTGTTCCACAAAACAGAAATTCCATAATGTCTTTCGCCATGACTGATTTTCTTCAACATCACGTCAATCTGAAAACAATTATGATGAAGTTTTCAACTCCTGGGCATTTCTGCGAACAGGAAATAGATGCTGTACATAGCTGCATAGAAAGAGTCCTTGCCAAACCCGAATATTTTTCGCCAATATCTTTGATGCGTCTTCTACGTCTAGTAAACCGTCATACACCATACAAAATTATTCAAATGTCTTTAAGAGATTTCAAAAATTTTCAAGAATGTTCATCTCAGTTAAAATACAACCAAATTCCATATACAAAAGTGTCACAACTCAGACCCACTCATTCAGTATTCGAAGTGCAATATAAAACCTCTCATAACCCCACCGAATTTGAAAAGGTAAGTTTGAAAAATTGCATTCAAACAAGGACGGTATCCTAGCAACTCTACCATTGCGAAAATCCACCAAATTAGTACACGAATTACCAGCAAATAAAGTTCATTTAATTATGTCAACGTATCGATGGATGCCAACAGTGAACAAAGAGTATTATGATGCAGTTTTACCACAAAAGTCAAACAACACTGCAAGCACTAGCCACAACAGAAAAACAACCTGACTGATCTCCGACTTCAACTGAACCTTTTTATTTAATTTACGTTACACGAATAATACATTTATGTTAGATTTGAATAATAAAACGTCGTTTTGTGATTTTTCAGTATAAATATAGTGTTTCTTACAAGCTTTCATATTATTTTTATTTTATTTCAACAAAACAAAGTTGCAAGTACAACACGAAGTGCTAACCAAAAAATTCACAAAGTTGCATGTAGTTTTTTTAATATGCAATATTTTATCAATTTTTGATCGAATCCAATTTTTTCATTAATATGCTAACAAGATTCATTTTTCTTTATTTTATGAGAAAAAACAAACCGTGAAGTCAATACCCTCTCGTTTTTACAACCGTAGAAAACGGTAATTACATTTATCTCGAAATGGTATATGCGGCACATGCAACCTTGTAATACCAAGCCAAAGATATATCCAAAACCATTTTGGAAGTGATGTAAGTGGAACTTCTGGCTTTGAAAACTTATGGAAATACATAAGAATATTGGAATTTCATTTGAAAGGGTTATATTTTTAGGAGTGATTAATTTTTTGGGAAAGAAAGTTTTTGGAATTTCCTTCTTAGTACAGAATCGAATTGCACACACAAGAATCCCTCTATCGACTCCCACAATAGAGGATATTAGACATGTATTAGCTGTGACAATATTGGTCCTCGGAGGAATATTTTAAATCGATTCTTGATCCAATACTTGACCAATATCCTTTTTCGTAGGATGTACTGACTTTCAAACTAATACATGTATACTTTTATTTCAATCATTTACTTGAGAAAATATGTCACACTCAGATCGAGATAAAATATTTACATCAATGAAAATAGAAATTACATTCCAAGTTACTCATCTGCATATATTACCACCTACTGCATCCAGAAGTGTATTTCCATGTTGATGTTTCATTCCATATTGTAAGCCCAAAATCTATCATTTCTGTGCAGAACTTCTGAAAAAAAAAGTTAATTCAATTTATTACACTGAAAATAAGTCCTATAAACATTTTTGGGTTTTCACTCCCCCCTCCCCTAAAATAAAAATCGCAGATGAAACCTTTATGGGGGAAAATACTAAATTTTAATAAAAATGTTACTGTTGACATCATAGTACAGATAAAAAAGGTACACTATAATTTATCAAAGCACTTCTCATTGAAAATTTTTCCTTTTTTCCAGCTGCTGCGCCCCTACGAACTATAACCCTCGAAGTCGAAACTTGTGCGAGCTAAGGACTAACGAGGTAAATTGATGNACGAGTGAGAAATGTTCCTCATACAGTAATAAATGTTGTTTTCTATATTACTGTATCACAGTTCAAAATACGCTCAAAATACGCAAAATACGCTCAAATTGTTCTGTTCTGTTAATTACACTTATCTTTGTACATACTGTAATCCTTAGTATGTATATATTGCAATACATTTCTTCTACTTTTCTTTCGGATTAAGCGGACTTTCGGATTACCGAAGTTCGGATTATCGGGACTCCACTGTATAACATTTTTTCTTCTTATCATCTAAGCTTTGCAACCTAATATGTCTCTATGACGCTCGAGTAAATCCTCATTTTGCATCGTAGGCTCCCCTACTATTTGTAGTTTTCACACATATATTTAATTGGAGAATGCGATATTATATTTGTTCGTGCTGCAGAGCAGTAAAATGCGAGATTCGGCCGTGAATGAGGTCTTGGTACCCTAAAGTTTAGTTCTGATAGGAGCAAACTGCAGTCTACTTGCTGTGCAGTAGTTTATGCAGAAAGGTTATTGAAGCACACCTTCTCCTGTTTTCTAAAGAAATAATTTGAAAGTGGTTAAGAAGGCTATTGTGACAATAAGACGAGTATTCTTTTTGAAAGACAGTTTTTTGTAGTTTAGAACAATGAATGATTCAATTAGCGTTATGAAAATTGGCAGTTTTATGTGATTTTGATGACAATATGGTAGGTACTTAGAGCTAATAAAAGTGTGTTAATTTATATAAAGATAGTTTTCTTCGTCTTACTTATTTTCTGTTAAACAAAGGTATTGTTTTAGTTGAATAAAGTCCGTCGTTGCTGAAACTAGAAGGGGAGAGTATTATTTATAACAGGTTATGGGCCCAGACCCGCGAAAAATTGACAAGTTCAATATTTGTCTCAATTGAAAGTGCAAAATGTCGACTGTAAATAATTATGTCGCGAGTATTCCCAAGCTCCTAGATCGTGAAAATTATTTTGACTGAACTTTTGCAGTGGAAAATTTTCTAGTGATAAAAAATCTGAAAAAATGTCTGACTGAAGAATTGCCTAGGCACGTGCCAAGTTAATTTTAACAATGAACTCTGCACTGTATGTGCTCATGAGGGTCACAACTACTGCAAAGGAATTGTGGGAAAAACTTAAATCGCTGTTCGATGCTTCCGGTTTTACTAGAAAAACTTCTCTTTTGTGATCTCTAATCTCCTTGAGGCTAGAAAACTGCAAGTCGATGTCTTCCTATGTAAAAAACCAATTGGTGGAAACGGCCCAGAAATTAAGAGGATTGGTTTTGAAATTGACGGGGAATGGATAGGATCATTGCTATAATCGTGGTTACCGGAGAAATTTGACTCCATGACAATGGCGATAGAACATTCTGGAATTTCTATAACCACAGACGCCATTAAAACAAAATTAATGGATATGGAAGAGGAAATCGGAAACGCATTTGTCAGTGAATTTCATACATGGACCCCAAAAGTTGGTTCTATTGGCAAATATGGTTAACACTGGAAGTAGGTCAAATAATCGAGAGCGAAATGTCAAATGTTACGGTTGTAAACAAATGGGACATTTCAAAAATAGATGTCCAAATAACGATATGAATAAACCAAGTCAAGTTATCGAATGTTTTCAATGTGTCATTTTTAAGTGGACAGTTCAACCGAGAAGACTGGTATATCGATTCCGAAGCCAGTGCGCATATAACTGTATTAGAAAATGAAGTATAAGATGTGATAAATACAGACATAAATGAGATTATTGTGGCTAACAAAAATAGGATTTCTGTCAAATGTTCTGGTAGTGTAAAACTTCAGACGAAAGTTGGAAAACCGAGTCATGACATTATAGTAAAATTTGTTTTATGTGTTCCTCACATAAAACAATTTTTACAGTAGTATTTGAGAGTACAGTAGTATTTGAGAAAGATGTAACATTTTCAACAAAATCAAAATGTTAGTAGCCATAGCCACAGCTGAAAATAATGTTTATCGATTAAACATTGATAGGTCTGATAAAATAGGAAAATGTTATATAGCAACTGCAAATTTATGGCACAGAAGGCTGGGGCATCTCAATTTTGCTGATCTAAGGAAAATGAAGGATGGAGCAGTTGATGGATTAATCTGCAAAGGACTAACTGAGCAGGAGGATTGTATAGTTTGCTGTGAAGAGAAACAGTCAAGATTACCTTTCAAACATGTTGGTACTAAGGCAAAAGAATTGCTTGGAGTAGTACATGCAGATGTTTGCGGACCCATGGAAGTTTCGTCCGTTGGAGGCTCAAAATATTTTCGGCTTACTGAAGATGATTTTGGTAAAATTTGTTTCGTATATTTTTTGAAATCTAAGATGAAGTATTTGGTTACTTCAAGGAATTCAAAAGCATGGTGGAAATATAGCAAGATAAGAAAATCAAAATTCTTAGGACTGATAATGGAGAGGAATTCTATAGCCTAGAATTTGAATCATTTTTAAGAATGAATGACATTATTAATCAATGTAAAAACCCATACACTCCTGAACAAAATGGCATAGGTGAAAGGATAAATGGAAAAAAGGATGGATGGAATAGATAAGATGTCTATTAAACAATTGAAAGCTACAAAACAATTTTTGGGCTGAAACTGAATATACGGCCGCACATCTCAAAAATCGATCTATTGCATCCGGAACTAGTGACAACAAATCACCTTTTGAAATTTGGACAAGTGTCAAACAAAATTTGAGCAATTTAAAATTATTTGGTTCTACAGTTATGGTTCACGTGCCAAAAAAAAAAAGAAGTTTGACAGAAAGGCTGAAAAAAGCATTTTGGTGAGTCAGTGAACGGTTATAGAATTTTTAACCCCAAAACTAGTTCAATTGTCGCAAGTAGAAATGTAGTGAAGATGGAAAATTCTGAAGAAAATAACGAAGTTCCGGTAAATCTCGATTTTCATGTAGGTAGTAATGTAATGAAATGTAATGTAGTAATGTAATGTAAGTAATGAAAGTCGTGAAGTGAGGGAGGAAATTTCTGAAGAGAACGAAGTATCAATAGATTCAGTGAGAGGAGTCTTCTATCAACCAAGAGGAGATACAAAATGCTGATGAAAGTGACTATATTCCAGAAGTAATTGTCGAACCACTCCCGGCTTTAAAAGAAGTTAGAAGATCTAATAGGCCACAAAAAGCGGAAAAGTTTGAAGATTACGTCAGCTATATGTGCGCGAGGGTGAGTCAATCTCGTGATAATGTAGATGTGAACAAAGCTCCGATTAGTGTTGAAGAGACTTTTTCGAGGCCTTATGCTACAAAATGGAAGCAAGCAATGAACAAGGAACTCCATTCATTTCAAAGAAATTAAGCATGGGAATTAGTAGGGCCGCCACAAGATGTAGTCATCGTAGATAACAAGTGGATTTTTAAAACTTAATTTGATAGTGAAGGTAATATTAGTTATAGGACTGGATTAGTAACTAGAGGTTTTCTACAAAAAGAAGGGATATATTTAGTTGAAACATTTTCTCCAGTTGTTGGCACAGTACATTACAAATGCTTATTGCTTATCAGTTCAACCTGATTTAGACATTACACGTTTAGAACAAGGAACTCCATTCATTTCAAAGAAATTAAGCATGGGAATTAGTAGGGCCGCCACAAGATGTAGTCATCGTAGATAACAAGTGGATTTTTAAAACTTAATTTGATAATGAAGGTAATATTAGTTATAGGACTGGATTAGTAACTAGAGGTTTTCTACAAAAAGAAAGGATATATTTTGTTGAAACATTTTCTCCAGTTGTTAGGCACAGTACATTACGAACGCTTTTTGCTTTATCAGTTGAACCTGGTATAGACATTACACATTTGGATGTGTGTACAACTTTTTTTAAATGGTTTTCTAGATAAGCCAGTATACATGAGGGAGCCAGATGGTTTTATATGTCATCAAAACCATGTAAACTTAAAAAGGCAGTATATAGCTCGAAACAAAGCTCTCGAGCATGGAATACCAGAATAAACGATTTCTTGTTGAGTTTGGGTTATAAAAGATCTCAATATATACCTTGTGTACATATCAAAAGGTTTAGATGTTCTTTAGTAATCATAGTTCTTTATGTAGATGATTTTTCAATTTTTTCAAATAATGTGGAAGAAGTGAATAATTTTTTGGGAAAGAAAGTTTTTGATGTTCTTCAGTAATCATAGTTCTTTATGTAGATGATTTTATAATTTTTTCAAATAATGCTGAAGAAGTGAATAATCTTAAAACATGTTTAAGCTTAGAATTTAAGATTAAAAATTTACGCAAAACAAAACATTGTTTAGGGATACAAATTATTAGTGATCACCAAGTGACCATCTTTAAGAGAAATATTAAACCAGTTTAATCTTCCTCTTGAAGATGATCACTTGGTAATCGAAACACTTGTCGAGGTGGAAAAACACTTTTGTTAAATTTTCCTCTTCATATTCATAACTCAACTCCCACCTCAGAAAAACGTACAGTTTTGAATTCAATTTTCTAGGAAAATAGCTTACATAACTAACAAATTATTAACTAATTACCTTCTGCAATTGAAGAATATGCAACGATTCCGCTGATGGTCTAATGGACAGCTCTCCAATTACAACTAACTGCGCTTTGAATCAATCCAGTCATCCCCATCAGAATGTAAACAGTACACAGCTCTTCAAATTTGGGAAGCCGGTTACCTGAAAAACAATATTGGACATACGTTTTATTCTTAGGGGTAGAATATTACAAATTTTAGGTAGTGTGTAAGTTGAAAAGTGATGACAAATATTTTTATTAAATTTTGGAGTGGGTAGCAATTCGTTGTTGTACTTCTAGTAATATAAACTGTGGGAACATAATCATGAAATATTTT